ACATAACTACTTCACATTACAATTCAACACATTAGAACGCTCTCACGCAACTACAAAATGAACATATCGCTCCACACGCATAACAAACCAGAGAAAGTCCCGTAAAAGGCAGCCAGGAGCGCGGTAGTCAAACTGGATGAAATCTGTACCGAAAAATTAAGCATGCGTCATTTTTTCGTACAAATTACATACAGTCTGGTCTGTATCTTTTCTGTACCTGCGAAAAATGATGAAAAAGTGATCGTGTAAAACAGGCTTTGTTTTGTGTCTTAAGCACGCGGGAGAGAAACGTTTAAGAGACGTTTTGTTCGCTCGCACATGCCTCTGCCAACCCCACGCACCCTGCGCAGCGCGAAAAGATTCTGTTGCGTGATCCGCGTACCTGCCTGCCTAAGCTCTTGAATGGGAAAAACAGAAAGAGAAAAGTTGCAGCAGCTTATGACCTGGCGCTCACTTCCACCAGTCCATAGATATAGTATCTTAAGAAGGCGCCAGCCACGGCAGTCTTGGAAGGAGGCAAAGACATGCGATTGCCAAATTGCCAAAACTAAAACAGGTGCTACCAGTCATGGGTTGCGAGTTAAGCTTAAGATCCTGTATATATTTAAATGTCTGTGATATGTTATAGGTTATATTTAGCCTGATGGGATATTTTTATACGAAATGTCAAATTAAATTTTAAAAATTATAAATAAATTTGTATAACATTTTGATTTTATATTACAGCGTGAATTTATAGCTTTTTCTACGTTTTCCTGTTATTTACTATTTAAGAGACTTAATTTACTACTGGGAATAAAAGGACGTGACAATGATGTGGTTACAACAGATAGATGAATAGAGACAGAAAAGCTCTTAAATTTAACAGATGTTCATATACTTGAGAAAGTGTAAAAGAATTAGAAGAGTATGAAGAATTTAAGGTTAGGAGAATGTAGTGAAGGGTTTTCTAACAAAAATAATTTTAATGTCACTGTCCAATGTATTAAAGAATTTGAAAATGAATTTTGGAAAATGTCTGGTAGCTTTAAAACATAAGCCAGAAACACATTTAGTGATAAGGTTATGTTATGTCAGTTTGTAAATAATTTGAATGATTTAATTAAAAAAGAGAGAGGGATAATAGTAGGTTGGAGTGATACAAAGAAGTTGTTGAAATGTAATTCTGGCATATCAATAGTAGGATTTGATGATGGTAGAGCTTTATATTTAAAGTTGTTGTTTTTTTCAGTCAGATAGTACTTATCTTGTGTTACAAAAACATATATCAGGAATAGTTATGAGAAATACAAGAACCATATTATAGAGATGGAGGAATGCAAGGTATGTGCCAAATAATATGTTATCAACTATATCCAACATGTGTGAATCAACCTAAAGCTTATGGTCTGGTAAAAGCACATACAAAAGAGTATCTAATACGTCCTGTTGTATCATGAGCCAATTCTCCTTCAAATATTTTGAGTACATTTTTATATACTAAATTTTAGACAATTGTTGATAGTGATTATAAATATGCTGTTAAGAACAGTTTCCAGTTGAAACCAAAACCTAACCAAATTAACATAGAAGATGATAGCTCATTACATTTCATTTCATTTACAAGCATTTGATACACAGATGTTATTTGGAATTATTAATTGAGAAATTGATGCTATTTATTTGTTTTATTCACTATATCGTACTAAATAACAAAGAATAAGGTTTTCAGAAAAACATTCTAGCATATCCTCATAACTATACATAGATGTCTATCTTACCAGCATGAGAATGTTTAAAACAGAGCTACCAAATCGTAATAAACAAGTGCCCTAAATAATCACTCAAAAATCACAACATAATACTACACAATGGAAATGGAAAGGCTTTAAGAATTTTTCTTTTGTAATTTAGATGTCAAATGTGGCATACCTGACCCGAACCACATATAAATCAAAAAGCTTGAAAAGCTGAAAAGTTTACTACACATGTAAAACTGGATATAAATAACATCTAAAAAAGAAGAATTTTCAGTGTTGCACAACATTATTTGCCTCTGGGGACAAAAAAGACCCCAAACAAGGTGTTTAAACATAATAAAATAATGTACAAGCAAGTACATGGATTACCAAATGGGGGAGCCCTCTAGCTGAATTAGTGATGAGAGAGTTAAAATGCAATGTGTTTAAGGATGTAAAATTTTATGTGAGGTATGTGGGTGATTCATTAATTATATTACATGAACACTAAATACCTAAGGTGTTAGAGGTATTTTAATTCTAAAATTAAATTTACTGTAGGGGAAAAAATGGAGTTCAAAAGTTTTAAGACCTGAAAATTATAAGGAATAGAAATAACATAATGGCAGGTTGGTATCAAACAGATGTATATGCTGGAGTTTTACTTAACCCATTACAGCCTATTATTACCACAATATAATTACTTAATTATTATTCATATTAAAAATGTTTTGATTTTAATTATTGAGACACACAAATGTTAATTGAAGATGTATTTTCAATTTAGCAACAGCGGAATCACAAATTATTTTAATTTGAATCCGATTGTGGATGGTAATAGTATAGTATCACACTACTTTCAGAATGGAACAGACATAAGTAACATAATTCATTTATATTCTATCTGAATTTGAACAATTCTTTTTGTGTATGATACTCTTACCAGATATATTATCATTCAAATATAGAGGCTGCTGATGAAATTGAAATGGCATTGAAGGCTCCTATTGATGGTGCCATTAGTGACCGCCATGATGGCGGCAGTGAAGTTGATGAAACAATTACTTTTCTGGACCTGGGTTGTGAAATTTTAGGTGAAGAAAGTGAGATTAGATTAGTGAAGCAATGGGACAAGCTGATTCTGGAAAAGCAAAAGGACATACATTATGATCCCAATTTGAAAGAATTCATGTTTCAGAATAAATCACTTGAATCAAAACCACATACTTCACAAAAAGAAGTTTGATACAACTCTAGTTCAGCCATTGTAAATAATCATTCTACTGCAAATTTTAAAAGTAAGAGGAAATCTAGACCAAGAAGAATAAAAACAACCAAAAACTGGGAATTCTTCAGAAATGCAATTTAATGACTGTTGCATTCCTGTAATGCCAATTACTTTGATTTCAATTAAGAGGTCTCTCCCAAGGAGCTTTTAAAAATTACTATTGATACAGATATTATGGAACTCATATGTCAAAAACTGTGCTTTGTGTTGCACAGAAAGAATTTATGGTACAATTGTTGGTAGAAGAATTGTATACTTGCAATTCTTTAGTTTTTGAATATGTAAAAGTACCAAATCAAATGCCTATTTTGGGTACCAAAACAAGACATGCATAACTTACTAATCTCAAATACAATGTCTAGGAACAAATTTGACTCTATTATTTATAGGTTCCTTCACTTCAATAACAACTCTGAAATAAACCAAATGGATAGTGTGTACAAGCTACAGCTACTTATTGATCATCTCAACAAGAAGTTCCAACAATTTGCCCAACCACTTCCATCAGTCTATTCATTGGACGAAGCCATGGAAACATGTTATTACCGTCACTCAATGAAGCAATTTGTTTGTGGAAAGCTTGTGCGTTTTGGATTTAAATTTTAGTGTCTTGCTACTCCTGACAGTTATCTTCTGAAATTTAATTCATGTATGGGCAAAAATAACCAAATTCAGGGTGAATAATGGGGATCATCAATTGCGCAAAGTTTTTGCATTGGATTCCTTTCTTCCTATAGCTGCGTTTTTAGTGACAAATTTTTCAACTCTTTGCTGCTTCTCAATAAAATGTTTGAACACAATATTTATGTAGTAGGAAAGATTCGGAGCTGATAGAATTGGAGATGAAACACTCAAAGACTTATGCAAACAGACAAGAGGACATGAAGATAACACTCAAAGGGCAAGATGATAATCAAGTGACCATAGACACTAGTGTGAAATATAAAAATCTTTTTAGTTATGAAAGGTTGTAAATGCATTTTTATTGATCTTTTTAAGCACTATTAACTGCAGACCACAATTAATTTGAGTAACAATACTGGGTGTTAATTCAATATGTCAATGCCCAGTATTTGATAGATCAAACACACCAAAAATTGGCCAAAACAAACTGATGATAGGATTTTGTTGTTTGATCTATACATTTCAATGTGTAGTTATGTTCTAACAAAAATATAACAAGTATACGTGATAAAAAACAGACTGTGGGCTATAATGGGTTAACTATCTATCTCATCATCCAATTAAAGACAAAAGAGGGATTGTTACAGGGCTTGTGGACACAATACAACTTATATAATCCATGTTTTTATCATAAAAATTTTGATTTGGTCTTTAGACTTCTGGTGTGAAATAACTACCCCATTAAATTCATGTCTTCTTCTTCTTCAAGGATAGGACTATCCTTGAAAACAAGACACGTGTAACTTACTAATCTTAAATGCAATGTCTAGGAACAAATTTGACACTTTTATTCATAGGTTCCTTCCCTTCAAAGATAGGTCTATGACCTGTTCTGACATCTTTCCAAAATTCATTTCAAAAGAGGTTAATGTCAGATTGAATTTTTATTTACATAAAAATAAGTCTAATCTTAATACTGAATTAGGTAAAGACAATGGAAATACAAGTAATAACCAAAAAAATATAATGATGGCTTTACCCTATGTTCCCAAGGTGAAAGAGAAGACTTTTAAAGAAAATATAAGACAAACTTAGATGCCAGATTAGGTCATAAACCAAAAGAATTGTATTAAAAGATTGAGTAGAAAAAGTAGACCAACAAAACACTGTATAAAAAATATCAATCAAAAGTTGTGGTAAATATTGTGATGGCCAAACTTGTAGAAAACTGAAAGAGAGTACATGAGCACCAGACCAACGTTAAAAGAGTGTGGTCAGTATAATTCAATATCTTGACATAGAGTAAAACAACAATATAAGTTGATTCTAAGATACTAAGATATTAGCCATAGAACTACACTAAGGAAACAATGGAATTTAGAGACATTGCACGTAAGTACCAATGAAACACTAAACTTTGTGACCGAGTCAAATGTAATCACCACCACTTATAACAATACACTGCAGGCTCTTGGAGACATGGATTAACACCTGTGATTGTAAGTCACTAAGAGTTTGTATCGTGATCTGTAAGGTTTTTAAGTCTATTATAATGTTACATGTAGTTATATGTGAACTTCTATATACTGGTTGTAGTACTTGTCTAGTCGTGATGTAGAGTGATAGAGATGCTTAGGGTATACTATGAAGTTAGTAGTGACCAAGTTATATGCATAATGGTTGTATAAGGACCAGCGAAGTTAAATATATGCATGTAGTATGAGTAAGTATTGATATGTACATTTTTAAATATCTGTAATATATGTTATAGGTTCTATTTAGCCACATGATGGGAGACAACAAGGACCCAAAACATTGCAGAACATATATAATGACAAACTGATGTCTAAGTAAATTATCAGCGAGTTAAGGAAGGTTCATGTTATCTCTAAAGATTGAAGTAATATTTTTCTTATGAAAAGAAATTCTATCTAAAGCACATTTGAATGTTAGATTATCATGAACTATTATTCTCTTAATGTTCTCTAGCAAATTTTAGTCATCATAATTCACAGGAGGAAAATTTAATAAAAGCTTCATGGATATACAAATTTAGAGCAACTGCAAACATAAAGAATAGGAAAGCTTGTGGGCATGATGGAATAAACACCGACCTTTTTAAATATGGACGAAGAAATATTCTTTAATTTCATTAATAATTGTTAGACTTATGACCTATTACCATATGATTGGGATAATGCCATTGTTGTTCCAAAAATTATAGGGACTTCAAGGGTACAAGCTACAAGAACTACAGGGGTATTAACATGCTAGATGTTGGGTAGAAAAATGGTTTATAGAAAAATAATAAATGCAGAATTCCAGAATTATTGCTTTTAGAATATCAGAATGGATTTTGGAAAGGAAGACAGCAGGCTATGAATACAATAAATTAAATAATAGTTAAATGAAAATAACTTAACGAAGTAACACCTATTGCCTTTGTAGACTAAGAGTATTTTAAGTACATCTCAAAATTGCTGGAAATAATAAGTAAATATTATCTAGAGTACATAATAAACAGTATTAAAAATTTGTTCAAAAACATAAAAGTGTGAGTGAGTATAAAAATAAACTATCAAAATTTTCCATTAACTCAGATTAGGCAGGAGTTCGCTTCATTTTCTAACTTTATTTAACATTTGTTTTGATTATGAACAATGAAGAAATTAGTAAAAACCACAATCGAGCCAAACAGAAATGTAACTGATAAGTTAATCACAGTGTAAGAAATTGATCCAAAGAAGTTTATTTCAGTTGCAAGAATTCTGGGTAGAAGCGCAACTGCACTACAAAGCCAAACATTTATTCTTTAAGGAAAATATCCAATCCAAAGCAAAGTTGTGTTCAGAAATATTACATTGAAACCAATTATCAATATTTAGGATGTCACATTAATGGTAAAGACCTTATAGAGAGAAAGATATGTATATTCCAATACATTTGTCGTTAAATATTAGTATATTGAAGTCTAAAGCAAGGAAAAACATGTTATTGAAGTATTACAAGATTATAGGTAAATCATGGGTACTAAAAACTAAGGATGGAGAGAATGAGGGTGCGGAAATGCAATTCTTAAGAAGATTAAAACAATGCAAGTTTGCAGACACATTAGAAATATAGATATCATTAAAGAACTACATAATTTTTACTAAGTAAAAAAGTAGAATAGTTCAGAACTAAATAGCAAGGTCATGTTACCCTGATTGTAAAACCTCATTGAACTGAAAAACTGATTGGAAAGAAAACAAAAAAGTTTGAATTTCACAAAATAAGTGGTATGTGTTTAATGAACATTGGATAGGTAAAGAAAAGTAATTTTCCACAGTAAAAATGTATGCACACTAAATTATGCAGTAACCACCGAGTTAATGGATTATTTTACTTTATTTTATGTAATATATATTTTTAATAATGTCTTAGTATACGATGTTCAAAATGTTTCCTTTTTGACGATTATGGAAAATGTGGAGTTACATGGTTTAACAGTTATGGTAGTTAAGATAGATTCTTAAGAACTCCAATTCTAAAAGATTAAAAAAAAATATTGATCCTAATGAAGAAGAGTGTGAGAAGATCTAAACAATAACAGCTGGAATTTATTAAGAGGCTGCAAAGGGCAATTGCAACCAATTAAATTATAAAAACCTAACCAAGAGCACAATTGTCCGTTCAGAAGAAATTAGTCTTCTAATAACAGTAGTAATAATAACAATGATGATAATAATAATAATGATGATGATGATAATAATAATAATAATAATAATAATAATAATAATAATAATAATAATAATAATATTAATAATAATATTTTTTTCCAATTACAAATACCATATTCAGTATCATTGGATAAAACGTTACAAAAGGATATGGCTAAGCACATAGCTTAAAAATGAGAAATTCACAATTTAAAAGAAGTTCTCTTCTTTGTCATGCTTACAGTGATGCCTGTTACAAGTATTGATGCTTTGGATGGTCCAGAAACATTTAATCTCCCTTGTTGCATGTGGAAGCAATTATACAAAGTGTGTGGAACTGATCACTCATTCTGAACATGCGGAAACCATTCTTTCTACATTCTGGTCCTTTTGCTCAACATCTATCTATACAAATAAATTTCATATTTTACACCATCTCAAATAAAAGTAAATTCAAAATAAAAATACATACACACTGCATGAAGTAACGTAACCTATAATCTTATTCAAAGAGCTGACAAGGGAAATACAACTTTTATCCTGACAAAACGAGGGGGGGGGCGACCTTGCTACGAAACTCATTTATTCTCTTAGCACAACTGCAAATTACAAAATATGCCTCGGGAAACGCGCGCGAGCGCGCATACACGCACACACATTTATATTTACATACTTGCGTTCTAAATTCTTTACGTTTTGCACTCCGCTTATTTATAACCTACTATTCTCTAACTTTTAATTTAATGAGTGAAACGCAAAGAATGGTAGAAACGGATGTTCAACTGTATAACACAACGATAATTACCGTAAATAATCAATGTATTAATGTACAGAACATATCTATGTTGGTTCTGACGTTTTCTACTACGGGGCAGAGCACGCCTGAGATGAGAACAGAAAGGGTCGTGGTCTTCTGCTGGTCTGCTGCTGGTGGTTTGTTTGGTTAGCTTCTAAATCGATCAGTGCATTGAATTCTTGTAGCATGCTAAGTAACGTCAGTGCCGTGTTGAAGTGCCCAGATGCATATCTCGTACAGTACTCGTAGATTCTGCTGGAGAAAGGGATAATATGGTTGTTTGTTCAGGTGTCTATCATGTAAGTAAATAAAATTCATTGAACACATTAACATTAATTCATTGAACACATCAAACAGTTTATTGAAACAGTTTTAACCTTACAGTTAAAACTGCTAGATTGTACACAATTCATAGTGTCTCATAATACATTATTTTTTGTTGATTTATCAGTCACGTCGAAGTTAATTAGTGAACTTCGGACCTAATAAATTAACTGTGTAACATAATTAGTGCACATTTGTATCTCTGAATGGAAATATTCGTGAAGTTGACATCATGTAGCGTTAGCAATTAGTTGGTAATCGTGTGCAATTTTTGAAATTAAATGTATTTTCTTTTAATGTTTAATACTTTCTCTGTACTACTACGTAATGCTGCAGTGAAAAGTGCGGTTATTTCGTAAACGAAAAACAACGCATTTTGTAGGTTCCAGATATTGAAAAGGTGGATTGATTGCTTATTTCGTGTTTACGGGCGCGTCAACGGATAAACATTAGTCCGTTAGTGTAGTAAATGTTTTTATCTCGGAAGAGGGTGATCCTCCTCCGCTAGATAGTGGGATCTGGCGCCTACCTATGCGTCGCCTAGCAGGATTTCCCCATCCATGTTACGCCACCAGCGGGTCACCTCCCCACCCGGGACAAGCTCTTAAGCTCCCGATTGGTCTCCCGACATTTCAGGCATGTATGTGTGTAAGTGTAAGGAAGGGATTAAAACAGGACACGGAAGAGAAAGGAAATATTGCTCGCGGAGGCCCGTTTGTTAGGGTACTGCTTCAGCATTCACCAGGTATTGCTCGGAGAAATCACGGAATACTACCGATCAGAGCAGCTGGCCGATAGAATACTCCTTCAGTCAGCGGCTGACTCGGCATAGTGTAGCGAAAATCCTGCCACTGTCGGGACTCAAAACCATACGACCTTCCAGAGGCACTGCAGTGACACCAGTTGATGCACTGAGCCACCTCAGCTGGTGAAAGATAGATTTTTCTTGGTCCTCTGTGTAAATTCCTTCCTCGAATACATAAGGTAGTCAGAATCCACGACACGTAGGCCCTGCCTAGTAATGACAAATTTTACCAAAACGTCGATATTTCGATGTTGATGAAAACATCGATGTTTTAAATGTGATAAAATGGATGGTAATTGTCCATCCTCTATTCATTTTTAATTATAATACTTTTTTTGTTTGAATACAGGAATTTCGCCAGAAATGAGACTAGTGCCACCTTTTTACCGGCATACAAGAAGAAAGAAAAGAGGAGCAATTTTTTAAAAAAATACTTAAAAATTACCTACTTTGTACCCCAAATTACGTTAAAACTACTCATATTTTCGAAAAAATTGTACATGACCTTGTTTGAAGATCTGTTTTTAAACAGATTTTTGAAGATGTATCTACGAAAATGTGACATGCGCCATCCTTTTAAACGTCTTTTACTTTGTTGAGTTACTTTGTTTGAGAAGAAAGTTTAATCCAAACATTTGAAGCCATTTTTGTGAAAATTTTGAAAATGTGTTTAAGGATTCATGTAAAGGTGTCCCTAAAAATCAAAATATCCGTTTCAAACTCAGCGGGACTGAAGTCGAAGAATATCAGTTTAGGAGAAAATTGTCTGAATGGTTTAGGCGCTAGTGGGTGGTGGACATACAAAGCCCCTTTAGCAGTAAGAATGTTTTATTTACAAGTGGCAAGTGACAAAGTGTATTTAAACTGATTTTTAATTAAACACGCTCTAAAGTGGTCCAAACATAATCTGCGACGCCTGTTGTACTGTGTAAAATATTGTAGGACCAACACATACAAATCAAAGACTAACACAACCAACAAAACATGACCAACACATACGATGGCGGAAAACAAACATGATATTGTTATTGCGGATGTGGATAAAACTCGTGTCTACTAGTAGATGTTGCACGGCCATACAATCATAATACCGTAATAACGGGGGCAGAGAAATGTCTAAAATATAAGAGTTTGGAAATCGACATCAGCCAAATATGTGTTGTGAAAACGCAGGTCTCCGCGACAGTTATCGGAATTCTGAAATTCGCTCCTCAGAGAACGTGCCCACCCCCCAGGTCATTCAAAACACTGGGAGGTGCAAGACGGTGCGGAATGGCGGCAGCCTATTTTGGGCGAATCATTCTAGAAGCACCGATAGTCATTTCTTATGAAGCTGGTTGTAAATTGGAGAAGATTTTTATTTAACCGACACCCAACTTTGTTAGTTGTGAATTTAATTAATTGAACAATCAACAATAAGTAACCATAAATGAAGATTACAGGAAAAACAAGGAATATCTCAAAATTGCGAAAACGATATTGCCATGACATCTTATGGTATACAAGGGGACCTTTTAGTCGGTAATGATATAAATGCGAAAAACAAGGAATATACCAGTCAAATTGAAGGTCGAACTTTTGCTGTGCATGAGAATATCAAGGAGTGTCCACTTAACCTGGAGGGATTTTTAAGGGAGGAGTGGATTTTTAAGGGCGAAAAAATCCTTCGCACGCCTTCCTTCGGAGGGGAAGTAAAGCCGGCTGTCCCATGTTAGTATATTTACTTGCATGTAAAAGATCCTCAAGCCTAAATGACACCTCTGAGCTTAATTCAAATCGCCTGTTTCTCGCCCAAGAAATACCTCCTTTCTCTGCTAGTTGGTGAAAGGACCGTAGCGAATTTTGCGTGGTCAGACAGAAGAGCGGGCCTGATGGCCCGAGTCTCGCCACGTAAAATAAGGCAAATTCAATTCAATTAACCTGCAAAAAAAGGAATGTCCTCATAACTTGGGGAGGAAGCAGTAGCGGCTCGTGTACTTTGTGTGTGTGTGTGTGTGTGTTTGGGGGCAGGGCTCAAACATATTAAAACACGGAAAATTCATTGTAAAGTAAATTTCTCATCTTAGTATTCAGTTGTAGGGGGTTCTATCCTTCGATGTTTGTCACTTGCAAACTTGTTATTTGCGATGTTTGTCACTCGCACTTTTTATTGAAGTCGGTAATTACTCTTACCGTATTCTTCTCAATGGGCAACATTTCTAATGCTGATAGTCTGTCTTCCCCCATAGAATTTCGTAAAAATTATTTTATTAACTTCAAAGATGAAAAACATATTTCAGTTTCACTTGTCATGGGCAAGCTTACTAGAATCTTCAGTGCTTTCGTTATTTCTTTAAAACAGAATCAAGTCCATAAGAAATTAGAAAATTAAGTGTTTTTAAGTAGCCAGATCCAGATAATAGGTTGTTTTGCGAGAATTCCGGTCTCTAAAAACTTTTTAATTGAATTCTCAGTGTAACTTTTTCGAGCATGGGGAAAGCATCACAAAAAATTTCAATATCTTCTTCAATAGGCAGTCTTTCCCCGTAATACTCATAATTTTCGGCCTGAAACAGTTTTGCTTCCGATAGATTACTTTGGTATTTAAAACATTCTTTTACTTCTGTTACAATGCATTCACATATCTCTCGCTGCAGCATTTAAATATTGTCTGGTGTTTCCACTTACTCAGGTCTTTTGAAGCTGGCTCTTCTTGTGTCTTTTCTAAAGATGTCAATGCGTTTCTTATATTCGTTATTGTACACTCAAAACAATATATTGCTTGTTGTATTTTCATAATATCAGTTTCAATTTTTTGTTGCTGAGCATACAAGATAAAGCATGACATCGTTAAAGAATTCTACCAGAATTGAAAAGTATCATTATTCAGCCACTTCAAATCCAGCTGGTTGCTACATTGTGTCTGCGTTTTTCACCGTCCCAGATTGAATATTTCGAAAACATTTCAAAATTAAATATTTATTTTGAAAAATCATTTGTACTAATGTTGAACGAGAATTTCAACTTTTATCGCCCGGACTTGGTATTACAACACTGCATGCTTTCTCTATTGAGGCTGTTCTATCAGGCGAGTTTGAAAAAATGCTGAAATCGCTGTCAGATTGGCAAACAATATTTTAACACTAAAAATGGTAGCCGAATCCTTTTCCCAGGAGTTTGTTGAGCTGATGTGCATAGCAGTAAATGTGATGTACATTCTTGTGGACATGTCGAACCAAAACAATAACGCCTCCTAAATGTCCTCTAAATACTGTAACTCCATCATAAGTTTGTGCTATTAATTTTTCGGGACAATCTTGTTAGAGTGGTTGAAGTTTATTCAAAATGCACCCTGACAAGCCTCAGGCATAATGGGTTTCTACATTAAAAAATCTCCAATATCGCTGTATATTGAGCCCTTCAACTCGTATCGAAATTCTTATCAGTCTGGAATTAATTTAAGATGTCGGGAGTATCGTGAACCATGCAGGATAGGAAAGATGATTGTCTTATTTAATCAGTTACAAACTATCTAAAAATCTGACGCATACACGCTAAAAGTTGGTTTTGTATTATCTTAGAAGTACCTTTAATTACTTCTGTATTATCAAAGTAGCTACAGTAACAAAGGATCAAGATTTTTGCTGTATTCTGTAATTTCTAAAAATACGTCTTTTTAACCTGAACTACTTGATTCATTTTGACATCGAAGTTGCAGGTTGCATGCTTCACATAATTTCATTAATCTATTATTTTGGAAACCTTATCTCGATTTTTTGTTACCAAATCATTGTGAAGACGAACAGATTCGACAGACGACAAGCATTACTCAGACTTTCAGATATGTTACATTTTCCTAGAAATTGAAAACGGACTACATTGTCTTTATATTTTATTGATTGTTAATGTTTTCTTATTTTCTACTGAAGATGTTTTAGATCGCACACCCCTTTGTCCAACTATCATCACCTCCAAACAGCAAGCATACGACATAAAACAGCGAGTTCTTCTCGTCGCAATAACATAACCAGGAAACTTTGTCATACAACGAAAAATCATTTTCTTGAGTAAATTATCCACGGCTCTTGCCAGACGATTCTTTTTGTTGAATGTCTAATTGAGGTACTGGGCGACCACTCTCTTGTAATTTAATTCTTTTCTGGTAAGCACAATGAGCTAAACACGATTTTTTTTAAATTCGCGAACAGGAACACTCGTTTCAGACGCACGTGGGGACAACGACGCAACACACAGCGCGAGCGCAAGGCACAGCTCTGGCGCAGCTCTGTTGAGCCCCAGTCCCACAGCGTGGAACAAGGAAGTAAGTGGAGAGGGGGTAGCATGGGCCTTAGTTGTCATGGGAACCCACGTTAACGCAGGGCTCTCGACCCAGAGCCTTAGCTGATCTGCTGGAGGCGCCTGCTAACGCAGGAAAGCACGTTGCAGATGCAGAAATGTTATGTTCGCCAATATTTGAGCGCCCATCAACAAACTATTTACTTACTAAGATTTAAATAGCCTCATAGATTATTAAAAAAGACAGGAGGGGCTACGCCCGTGAACCTATAGGCACGAACCGCCCCTGGGAAGAAGAACTGTCTTTATTCATTTTCTCTGCATTATCTTTACAGTTGTGTGACTCATTCTCTTTGCATCGGCTTATCACAGAATATTGGTTGTGGTGTGCTTTACCGCTGTAACGTTGTTAAATGTGAAACAAGTGATAATATGTAGATCGTAAAAGATGATAGGTCACGAGCAACTACATCCGTCATCTCCAGTGAAACAGAAAAGTATAGGTCGATTGAGTGATGTAAACAAGATTCTACGAATTCAAAGCCATGAATTAGGTGAAGACCAAGTGTAAGCAGTATCAGTGTTTTGATGAAATTTCAAACGATGAGAAAATGACGATATTAAGTCACTTTAATAATTTATGTCATAGAAGTGAACAAAGTTCACTCCTCACTGTGTTATTTCAGTGAATGTAATTTAGAGACGACGAGGTCGTCGTACCTGAAGGTCGAGGCACAAGCGCTGATAAGCATATCGCTATTGAGTGCGGGTAGTCAGAGAAGGAAAGTTTCGAGAAATCCCAGTGTGCTTTAAAGCATTTTGTGCTGTACATGGGGTTAAGAAAGGTTGCATGGAACATATGCACAAAAAATAAGAACAATATGCGTTAACACAAAGAATGTGGAACTCGTAGAAACAGGATTAACAAGTTCTCTCCACAGTTTGTCAGAAGATTGAAGAATACATAAAGAGTTTCAAGAGTTCAAATAGCCTGGAGAAAACCAGTAACATCTACCTTCATACATTTCAAGATAATGTGCGTTTCAATAATGGAATACTGAGGTAGTTGTTTCGTACCTATGGGAAAACTTTAAGATAAAGTTCGGATACCGTAATAGGGGTAATTGTGAAGAGAAACGGGAACTGAATGTACAGAACTGTTCATAAGAGGGCGGAGACTTTCTACTTGAGAAAGATAGTGGAGAGGTATCCAAAATACAATGAAACTGAAGTGACCATAGCGATGGATTACGCAAAGAATGTACCCTTGCCCGATATTAACACCAATAATGTTTTATAGAAGACAGATAAGTAGGTTTATCTTAAATACTCATGTATTGGGTACTGGAAAATCATTGTTTTATACTTATCCCGAAACACAAGCAAGCTCCAATGAAGATGCTTCCTTCTTGTATGATTTTCTAATGGGATCGGTGGAAGTGTACCTGAATTGCAGATATTCTGTTGTGGGGAAGCTACGGCCACGAGGGGCGTCGCGACCATACTCCACCCCCTCTTCCATAGACACGGTTTTCCCGGACATCTGACAGTCCCTGTTGTTGGCTTGCCTTGTCTTATCCCTTCTCCCCCCTTCGCCGAACCCCGAATCGAGGCAATGGAAACCCAGCGGTCACCCCCGCACAGCGAACATGCTGTGGCTCGCCGCTATGTAAACGGGTGTCGGGAATGCTGAAGTGTCGCTCGTGCCCAGATCGCAGAGTTCGTCTGGCATAGCTTCGTCTGCTCCGCGACACTCGCATGAGATGGAGCGCGTCTGTTGGTAGTTCCCGTAGTTGCGGCGAGAGGTTTGATCCCCTCGGAACAGCTTGGCGTTGACCCCAGTGACCGCCACACGCGCCTGCCAGCGTGCCGCGCCGCCCGCCCGCCACAACTTCAACTTCCCCTCCCTTCTCACTGCGACGGCCTGAGCGTCGAGTTGGGCGACCGCCGTAGGGCCAAGGAACAATAAACGACTTATTGAAATGAACCTGTGGTGCTTATGACCCCTCTCCTATGTCACCGGTAGGGCACCGCCTAGAATGTCCCTCCACGTTACGACACATTGGTGTCAGGTAATAATAATAATAATAATAATAATAATAATAATGTCTTTATTAATGACGAGGCTCAGGCCATAGGGCCTGCTCTTCGCCTAACCACTGGTGTGGGGTGAGTTCGAACTCGGACATGTTTACAACATCGGAAAGAATAACTTTCCGAAATTATTATCATCCACTTCTCAAATGTATCCATTCGTGAGAATATAGTCATTACAGTTCGAATCATTTAGATATATTGAAAGAGACGTTTAGGCTAGCATACAATGGTAATAGTTGGAAGCCACCCGCGGGCTCCATGGAACAGCCTCATTTGAGATAACGCTTTGGAGAAAGAACCGTCTAGTACGCTGCTGGCACCTCCGGAGAACTCATTTAATTGGATATCAATTGTCAGTGGAGTTGGAGGAACATCTGCAGTACTTAAAATAGTAAGACAGTATAGCAAGTGGAATGAGGATCAGACTAAAGAAACTGCAATATTGCATTTAGGTACGATCGAAGAATTAGTCTAAAACAACCCACACACGATAGAAGTACGTCAACTTCGCAAAAGCCTTGACGGGACGGTTCGCATCTCAATATTCCCGTGCTTCTATAGAGAATACGCTATGTAATTGTAAGCCGCAACACCTTGGATCTTGTAAACGAGTAAAACGCACGGCTTCTTCGGATACGAAATCCACTTTTGGCCGTTATCTCGGACAGCAGCTGTGATGGTATTAAAAAGTACGTGACTGATAAAATATTGGCACAATTTTAATAGGCCCAAAAAGAGATTTAGCGAGGTTCGTGTCAATCCGGAACCGAAAGGATTTTTTGCCGGCGGAAGAACTTGCACATATAAAGGAAACAAACGCTAAAATGTATCCCTTCGTTTCTAATGATCTTCACGTTTTTGAACCACCCTCATTAGTTAGATTGAAAGTAAATTGCCAACCAATCACCAGCCAGATACTTTACAATTTGCATTGCTGAAGACACCGGATTCTTCACGTTGTTCATAGCTTATTAAGAACAAAACCTCACCAACCAAAACCGCATCAAAATATAGCATGTTATAAATAGAAACTCAAGAGCGTGCCCGCAGACCGGAGAAGCTTGTCCACGAAAGTGTCTTCTGTTACTCGCCGCTAACGGAATTAATATTAACAAATGAAGGGAAAGGTATAGGGAAACAGAAAAGGAATGGTAAAAGGAGCTTGGAGCCTGTAATTCGAATCTTGAAAAGAAATATTCCCTGTCTTCCAAAATTTATTTGAGTAAACGCGTTGGTAAATTGCGCAACACCGTAATGTCCGTGAAATTGGTATTATGGAGTGATTAAAATGAAGTTTCTGCATCATATAATTCGTAGAAAATAGAATTATTTAGTTATTAATTTTTTTGTTATTTTATTTATTAACTTCATTCATTTCCGGCAACTAGTACATCCGGCTTTCTGGCGGACATTAATGAAGTTACGAAACTTTGTCACTATTTAGAAGTGGCAAAGATAGACATACTTGCAAAATGGAATAATAGGAATATCAGAAACAGAGCTCCAAATTAGAAAGCGTTCAAGACATACCTGTTAGAAGAAAGCAGTATAAGAAATCTGTATGAAAAGAGTCTAACAGAAGCACTAAAACAAAACTCTGAGTGCCATGATATAGAGGATGAATGGAAGATCATAAAATATAGTATCCTAAAAGCAGCTTGTGAAGTCTTAGGAAATAAAAAACAAAATTATTAGACACAGAAGTCTTAAAATATAGGATGATGAAATTAAAACAGCTATTGCAGAAAAAAAGACTAGCGAACACGAGATACTTACAGAATGGTACTGAAGAAACACAAGCTCTTTACCACCAAAACGTAATCTGGCTAAAAAAATTACCAGAAAAGCTCATTAAGAGTTTTGGAATCTGTTTATCAATAGGATAGAGAATGACATCCATGGAAGGCAGACATTAGCATTGAAAGCTCTAAGGCACTTAAATGCCAAGGGAAAATATAGAGCAAAATCTAGATAGATCTGTTATATCGGAGAAAGAATGGAAGGAGTTCTATCAGAAATTATAGACAACGGATGTAGACGATGACATACATCAAAATCTAAATATCTATGAATTTTATGAAGTATATGAAATATCCAAACATGAACTACAATAAATTAAAAAATCACAAAAGTCGCAGGACCTGATAATGTAAGTTCGGAGCTTTTCAAACATGGGGGAAGTTACCTCATAAGGAAATAATGCTGATATTTGCTAATAAATGTTGGAGAAAAGGGAAAATCCCTGAAGAGGGGAAATTAGCCAAAGTTATACCATTGTTTAGAAAAGGATCAAGATGATTTTGTGACAACTACAGAGGAATTAGCCTTCTAAATACAGGCTATAAAAGATATAGTAAAATTCTAAATGAAATATTAATAAATATCTCAGAAACTCTATTATAAGAACAACAGAATGGCTTCAGAAAAGTACGTCTTGCACTGACGATGTTTTCACTATTAAACAAATTACCGAAAAAAGAAGGGAATTCAATTTAGAAACGCGCTTAGACTTCATAGACTATCTCAAAGCTTACGATAGAGTGCTAAAAGCAAATTATGGGATATCAAGCATAAAAGAGGTTATCCCATATATTTGATACAGACAGTCCGACAAGTGTATGAACACATTTAAGCAATAATTGACATTGGAGGAAAATGTTCGCAGGATATTTTTAAAAACCAAGGCGTAACACACGGTTGCAGCTTATCACCGACATTATTTAACATTTATCTCGTTTATATGATACGCGAATGTCAATATAATGTTCCACAAGGCATACTCCTAAATAATATCTCAATTAACACCTTGCTGTTTGCAGATGACCAGATAATTCTACAAGAGACAGAATATAATTTGCAGATATCGTTACATTCCATCAAAGAATCGGGTATGAATATAACATGAAAATATCCGTTCCAAAAACTAAAACTATGGCTTTCCATGGGAAATATCCTGTCAGAACTAAGATCGTTGTGAATGGACACATCGTGGAACAAGTAAAAACATTTAATTACTTAGGTTGTAATATTTATTATGAGTGGGATGAAGATATAGAAAATAAATTTCATATATTTTAAAGAATTTGTTGATGTATTAAAAACGCCTCAAAAATAAAACAAGAAAAGAACCTCAAATAAAATTCTACAAACTAATGGCAGTACCTACACTTCTCTATGGCTCAGAATCATGTATCAAAAATACAGGCAGCGGAGATGAGCTACCAGAGATCTAATTAAATCTAGACCCGATAGAATAATACTGACATACGAAGTGAACTCAATATCTTCTCACTAACCACTCGTATAGAAGAAAATAAAACGAAATGGAAAGAACACCTAGAAAGAATGACGGATGGAAGATTCCCAAGAGAAGCAATGAAATATACGCCACGAGGAAGAAGAGATCCAGGTCGCCCAAGAAGAAGATGTGTCTGAGAGGCCGGAACAGAACCTAATTCTTGAAAGAAGAAGAAGAAGAAGAAAGAACTTCATTCATAAATTTATAATATAGTCGGAGAGGAAATCTTCAAAAGTGTGTGGAAGTGTGATTTTCAAGGTACCAGTTGTGTTGTAATACTTTGTGCGAGGAAAAATTATAATTGTACTAAAAATGAAGAGGTTTAAATGTTTTGAAAATCTGGCATTGGTACATTTTAGAACCATCTAACAAACATGACGAGTCACTACAAATTCTATCTAATGCTAACAAAAAAACGGAATTAATCGTTCCTCTTACGATTGCAGTTACATTTACCCATGGTCGAATTTAAATTATGTGTTCTCAAAGCGCAAAATACTATGGGGCTCCCCTTCAGAAAATAATCTTCTCATTTACTCTTTTTTGCTGGCGGGATTGGAAAAATGTGTATACCATACGAATTAGCGGTCATTGTTGCGATACAGAAGGTGATAATGACTGATGACATATCTTTCGCGATAGTATAAACTCATAATTTTATTTACGTCCAAAATACGCTTCGTGCATCGTTGGTACGTTTATGTAGAACGTAAATACACTGAATTCAATGGAATAAAGCTGTTTTCGTTAAACATTTGCATTTAAAAATATACATGTATTTTTTACGCTTTAAGAAATTTTCAAATGTGTTAGACAGAAATCGTCATATTATAATATTACATAGCCATTAACAACATCGCGAGAAAGTAGGTGATGTTCAGGGGCGTAACGTCCATGGAAGCGCCGCTTCCCTTACGAAGTCTGATTACAATTTTTTACATTTTAAATGTAGTAGTCCGCTTATAAAACTCGATGAATTGTTCGAATAAGGCGTGCGTGAAATATGATGTACCCTGTGCGAGGCTACAATACGTGTTGCCCTCCTAGGAGACCTCGTCCGGTCGGATGAAATAGCTTGTCAAGGACTGTGATTGAAACATGACAATTGAACTGTGAATAAAGCATGACCCGAGCATCAAGGCACGGTGTGTATCACTGTCCATAGACTACTTTTTTTGGGGGGGGGGGTAGATTCCTTCGTAACCGTTCGAAAGTGTTTCTTACATAGGTTATTGTAGACGGACCAGGGGCGGATCCAGGCGTACATTTTGGAGGGGGCCATCATAAACTTTGTAAAATACTAAACATATTTGTTATTATTTTGTATATTATTTATATACTGTAGATATAATACTGTACAACATTATTGCTAAAGTAATTATATAATTCGAGCATAAATATTTAAAACAAATTTGCTGCATAATAGAAAGAAAATGAACACTTTTGGTCTTTTTCTGGGAGGGGGGCGTAGCCGCCATGCCCCCGTGAGTCCGCCAGTGGGAAGGATTCAGCACTTCCAGAGCATTAAAGAAGGGATTGCGGCTGCAACCCGCGCCGCGAGTTCGCACGGCGGTGATGGAGCATTCCCGTCTCTCCTACGCGGATGTGCAATTGAACATTTGAAACAAAAGAATTTTCAAGCCTTTGTTTTGAGGGAAAAAAATGATTGCGACTGGAAAACCTACACCAGAATTGAGTGTCTTTCGAAGGGCAAGACGAATTTCATACGACATTTTCGTGCACAAATATTCGAGAATATTCCGTGGATAAGTGGGTGGAGAATCATCTATAAATTATTCTGTTGGCCATGTTTATTGTTTTCTGAAGATAAATCCGTGTGGACGCAAGGAAAATTCGAGGATCTTCAAAATAGTTACATAGCACAGGCTCCCCATGCAACTTCAGTTTCTCACATCCTATCCCTAAACAAATCTCAAATTGTTTGTAAAACAAAGAATTGAATGCAGTATCAGTGAGCAGTTTTTGTGTATGTCACAACGAAGACGTTAAAAGAACAGAGGAATGTTGACTCATATTATGAGAGTTGTTTGTCTTTTACGAAAACTGGGACTGGCGTTTCGCTGACATAATGAAACTGCCGAGTCTCATAATCGAGGCAACTTCATAGAAATTCTTAAATTTTGGGCTAATTATAATCCTGAAATTTTAGCTCTTATTGAAAGCAACAACGTGTTCCGTGGAACATCGTCGGCCGTCCACAAACATGTTATCGCGACAGTTGTGGTAGTTATGCACAGAGAAATAGAAAAGGAGATTTCTGAGACTCAATTTGTAGGATTAATATTTGATGAAATAACTGATGTGAAAAAAATATATGAAAAAATAATAACGAAGAGAGTGATAGCAATTGCCGAATGTATACTTCGAGAAGAACAGAATGGGAAGGTCAGGAAGGGAAGATCCTGTATTGTAACCACCGACTCACCCGATTACCTGATTTCCTTCGGCGATTCAGCTTTGCCTGGCTGCTTCGTCGGCAGACTCCCTAGAGGGAGGCATGCGTGATTGTCTAACTACTGAAGAGAAAGACTTAGGCCCTGTGACATAAACAAACTTACAATTTACTTATCTTAACACAGTTACAATCTTAACTTACAATCTTAACTTAGAACAGGTCTGCATGGCCAGAGTTCATCTTAGCTCCGTGGTTTTCGCCCTCCCGGGCGGTCATGACCCAGTTTACAGGTGCGGCGTTCGGGCATCCCAGCGCCCGGCAGGTCTGGCGGCGGGCAGCCACGGTCGGTGCTTGCCCCTGGTCCCTTTGTGGCGGCCCCTCGACAGTCGCGGCGGCGGCTCACAGTCCCGGATTAGGCCAGCGGCGTGCGTCGGCCCAGGCGATGGCGGGTCGTTTCGTGACATTGTCTTTCACGCCCCCGCTCGTACTCACATGACCCTTTCGGTCAGGCACTCACACGTGGTATCCCGTCCCATCGTTCGGCTTCCGTCACGCGAGTCAGGCTGCGATGTGTGCGAGGCGGCGTGACATTCGGGGCGACCAGGCACGAATAGTCCCGGCTCGGAATCAAAGTAACAAGTGCACTCGCGGGTTCCTCACAAACAAGTGTCCTCGCGGCTGGCTCAAAAACATGTCGCCTCCTCGCTACTGCCTCAAAAACAAGTGTTCCCCCTGCCGCCTCCGAAACAAGTGATCGATTCACCTTCGGCGGTCCCTCAGGAAGGCTCGCGTGTGTCACGTGATTCCTCCCCCGCATCGTATATTTCAATTAGCTGTCGCGCCACCCGTGGATCCTCCGCCTTTCACGGCGCCAGCGGCACAGCTGCCCCCCCAGCAACTTTCCCCGAAGTTACCTCCGTCACGAAAATTCTAAGAACTAGGCGCGGGTAATTCCGTTGCTCGGTTTGGGGGTACGGGAGGCGTATTTCCCCATACGTCACAAGGGGTGCGTTTGGCGTGGGTTGCGCTGCACAAAAGAAGTGCTTTCCTCCTTTCCCTCGGCGCGCTAAGCGGCCTTCCCAGATATAGCAGAAAACGGCATTTCCGGCTGCTCTTAACGGTGGCGCGATTCTTAATTAAATAAAATATTTTGTTCGTGTCGTCATCTGCTATGTGCGACCGTCCCATTACAGTATAGGAGTATTCACTCCAAACAAATGATTGAGAAACGCCGAGAAATAAATCTAGAAATACACATTTTATTCTTAGACATAGAAAAGGCGTTTGACATAGTACTAAGGTATAAATCCGTGACAAGCATGGAAAAGAAAGGAATACCCAGAAAACTAATGGAGGTAATAAGAAGCATGCATGATGAAACTCTCATATATGTGAATCTTCCGAATACAAAAAGAGAGTGTGTATATATTATATATATATCGACGAACTTCTCTCAGAATGGAAGAATGATTTACACAATGAAGGAATTTCAATTGGAAGTAAAATACTAAAATTAAACCCCCTTGTTTGCATATATCGTTTTGGTGACTAATTGTGAAGGTGACCTCCAGAAGTTATAATTTAAATTACAAAAGAGGGCAATAGAATATAAATGTGAAATATCCATCAACAAAAGTGAGGCTAGCCCATCCAGTGGCCGAGATCGCTAAGGCAGTATTGCAGTGGCGGGTTCGCCGCAGGCTTGGTTGCATCGTGTTCGTCCTTTCACCCTCTATCATCATATCGTATCATCCTCACATTTACCATACTGTTACAAGCAATAGTGGTCGTCAATGTCCTAGAAGTTGATGCGACCTTAAATAACAAAAAAGTAAGGCTATGGCTTTGGGAGGTAAACATCCCAAATGAACAAAAATATTAATAAACAACATCACAAAATTAATAATAATGATCTGTGGTACTATCAAACGGACATTGGGAAAGAAAGCACGAAAAGAAACCAAACTCAAGCTTTATAAAACTATGGCCATAAGAAGACCAAAGAAGGGCTGGTCTCTAGACAACGTTACCGGAACAGGCTAGATCACTCCAACCCATGCTGCTGCTGAAGATTATGATCATTAGGGGCGGATTTGAATGAAATGTCATTTTTTCTTTTCACAACTTTTCACAATTTTGTCTTTAGAACAATGTTGTTTAGTATAGAAATTCATTTTATGTTAAGACAAAACGGAATGGTCTATTTTTATATAATTTTTTGCATTTTTCACCAATTTCTCCTCATAAGTAATTTTTTTTACCTTTTCACGTCATTTGTAATGCATTTTTAATGCGATTTTTGCTGATTTCATCGATTTTAATATCATTTCAATGGTCCTTGCTTCAAACAATATTTACGAGGTGCAACAAATTATCACCACCTGAATTCCTGAGAAGCATATTCGATTTCTTCGCTTATATATTGTAATGTCAGCCGTTGTGAGTACTATGTAATCTAAGGTTCCTGTGACGCATATCGGAGCCATTGTCAGTCCGGCCGATTTCGCGATAAATAAAGGCACATATTCTCTTAAAGAACAATCCAAACCAAAAGTTTACTAGCTGAGTACACTTGAACAATAGGAAGAAGCTTCCATTACATCAGTAACACATCCAACAGCTTGAGTTGTTCATCTGAAGTGGTTTTGAACACATTATTAACGTAATTTTTCTTTGTTTTTAGGGCATTGATCATTTTTGGCAATGTTTTAGGTAATCATAATCCGCCCCCTAATGATGAACTGACGTGACAATGAAATCGTGACTCAAGCGTGTTGCGGTATGTTTCAAAGTATGGCGTTCAAGAAAGATTCTTGCATTTCACTGACTGCATCAAAAACAGATCTGCATCTGGATTATTAGCGCACGGAAAAGGCGTTCTCACGTTCAAGTGCGAAACAAAAGTAATAGCGCAAACATATGACGGCACAGCAGTTATGGCAGGGGACCATGTTTTACTTCCGGCCAAATTGAAGAAAATTTATAAAGAAGCAATCTTTGTGCATTGTTATGCCCATAAATTAAATTTAGCCTTAGGACAATCTTCGAGGTATATTAAGGAAGTGTGAATACATTTCGCTCCCTGGTCAGGATTAGGGGAATTTTGTCTAAATCTTCTAGGTGGATTGAGATTTAGACACTCGTTGAAACTCGTTGAAATTCCACCAGCATACGTGTACAAACTCTGGAACATTATACCTGTGATCTGCAAGACTTATTTGCTTCAATGACAAAATTCAAGTGACCGGGACGCTGAAACTGTGCTCTGCTCATGGCCAGTTTAATCTTTTGAAAGACTTTGGCTTCAATTGTTTCTTAAATTTGTTTTCTTCTGTTTTCCTCATTCTCACTCATTATTTAAAATTTTACAAAATAATTCCATTGACATCATGTATTGCGTGAAAACGATTTTGGGAAATATCTAAAGCAGTTTCGAAACACTTTTGATTGTTTTTAAGAAGGTTGCCACTCAGAAAGTGGCGAATTTTAGTACAGCAAGCAAGTCAGGGTAGAAAATACGGAGAATGAATAGTACGTATGCAAGAGATTGTTTTTAGAAGTTATAAACAACTTAATATGTCATATATCCGATAGATTTCCTGATACGTCTAAACCGAAATTCCTTAACCTTCTTTAACCTGATCTCTTGTTAAGTTATCAGTCGTCATTTGCCATTGAAGCTTTCAGTTGTCTAATAGACGTTTGGAAGACAGCTTGACTTAGCGCGATTGAGAAGTTAGCTCATTGTGATTTATTGCAATAGTGAGTTCCACTAGAGTGTGTATAAATTAAATGATTATATCATGCAGCATGAACTAGTCTGTCCCCAAACATGTATACTAACCGCTCTGATTGTCACTATAACTGCTACGAGTGCGTCGGCGGAGAGGTCATTTTCTGTTCTCCGGAGAGTACAAAACTGTTTTCGAAATTCACTAAATGATGAAATACTTTCTAGTTTGTCCTTACTGAATATCGAGAGTCAGCTTTTAGACATGATGATAAGGCCATAGTTTTTTAACGATAGCAAAATGCTCCTGCGTCATTATTTAGTGATATTTTGTTGGTTAGGTTTATTAAATTTCAGAGTTACACAGTATGCTTGGACTTTCTCATCTAATGTAAAGACTTTCTTGAGGGAAACTGTACTAAGTGGAAGATTTTTTGTGCAACACATGTGGGAAGATCTATGTTTATTTGATAAACTTTTTTGCCAAACATAATTCTAGATTCCAGCTGAAACATATCGTTCTATTCCTTTGATAAAGAAATATTTCAGTGTATTTCTTGTGACTACAAGTAAAAGTAACTAAAAAATTTCCAAGTACAGAAAGAAAGAAATCTATTTTTTAATAACAATACTCAGAATAAAAATACTTATATCAAGAAATGTTCCATGAAAGGTTCCATTAACAAGGTACTTTTGACTGCATAGTTCCTCAAATCATCTATGAACGACGTAGGTTGAATACAGAATATGCCGCTTCCCTTCTTCAAAAATTCACACTACGCCCCTGGTTTTGTTGTAGCATCACTAGTTGTATTATACCATTGGTACTTCTGCTCTTGGTTGTTCTGACTTCTGAGTATTATTACTTAGAGCAGATTAGATTGTTATTGAGAACGGCAGTTTCTTTGTTGTTCACTTCTGAACTCCACTGTCATTGGAACTCGTTAGACGGTTGTTATTCCAGTGTATATTTCTTTGCAGGAAGTACAGTTGCCCTGCAATCGTAGTGAGTTATCTTCTGAAGACGCCTAGGATCGACAACAATGGAATTACAAAATGGGAAACTATTTAGTTTTTATGAAGGAACCCGCAATGAGAAAGGAATCGGCTTAATATTTTATAGTGAAATTAAGGGAAATGTAACAGATATTATTGCGATTTCCGACAATTATCATTGCCTAACTAACGCTCTCAAAGATCCAGATAACAGTAATACAAACTTACGCACCAACTTCAACGAGTACGGAGGACGAAATATAAACATTCTATGATGAGTTATAAGAGGCTTTAGAGCTACAAACTTCAAAAATAAATTTTGTGTTTGGGGACTTCAATAGTAAAATTGGTCGCATAAAACATGGAATTGAGGCGTGGATATGTCCTTATGGTTCCGGTGAAAGGAATAAGAGAGGTTTGAAACTTCTAATGTGATTTGCTCCGAATCACAATACGAGAATTACAAGTACGTTCTTTCGCAAAAGTTGGAGGGTGAAAGGGACTGGAACAATCCGGGAGGTAAAACAAAAAATGAAATCGGCTTTCTTCTCTGTGATTCTTCATATCTTTTATAGGATGTTCAGGTGATTAGATACTTAAATTTTGATACCGACCACGACCGGTACTCGCGGAATTATGAAGAGTGAACAAAAAATTTCGAACACAATGTGCAAAAAAAGACTAAGAAAATCTAATCTTATGGATGTTCGTAAATATATGTCATTCTTTCTAATAATCTTCACGAAATCCAATGGTCAGAAACATTAAGTGTACAAACCCAATATTTTACACTATAAGAATCTATAAAAAGGTCTGCTAAATGTCTTCTTTCTGAGAAAAATGAAGAAAAAGACAGAACAAGTTAAGTGAGGAGACAGGAAAATGATAAGATCTTCGACAAGAAGTAATGCTAAACAAAGATAAAAACACGGCTATACAAAAAAACGAAGAAATCAACAAGCTTACAAAAAGAAAAATTAGATGTGACCTTCGAAAACAAGAGACCTCCGTGAAAAACATGTGCACGACCAAGAAATTTGTCACAAATTAAAATGTCACAGAGCTTAGGTCAAAAATGAATCCCACAACTAATAATAGCTGAGGCACTGTTGCCATATCATGACGTAAAATCGTAGAAACACAGTTCTACGAAAATCTTTACACAAGTGACAAGATAAAATGCCATGCATTAATCGAAGACTTCATGGGAAGTTTAAAACACAATTCGCATGTCCTAGAAATCTTACCGAGCGAGGTCAGACAAATTTTGAAACAGATATGTTCAAATAAATGTCCCAGAGAAGATAGCATAGTAAATTAATATCTGAAATTTTGAATTGAACTAACACTGCTATTAACAATTATTTTCAACAAGTGCTCCACGAAGAAGAATTACCTGAAGAATGGAAATCGAATACCTTAATACTACTTCACAAAGAGGGTTCAAAAGAAAATATTGACAAGTACAGATCGATTAGCATCATGTGAAATATTTTCAAAATATTCTCGAAAATAATTTCTAACAGATTAAAAGAGACAATTGAAGAAAATCAACCGGAGGAACAAGCAGGTTTCTGGGCTAGCTACTGTACATTTGACCATCTACAAACAATGACCCGACTCATAGAGAAAACACAAGAATTTAACTTGCCAGTGTATTGACTTTACAAACCTTCATTGACTTTACAAACGCCTTTCTTTCTGTACAGCAAGTATTTTAAAAGCATTGAAAGCAATAGGAATAGATGACAAATACCTCTAATTACTAGGGAAAATACAACTATTAGGGCAAGCAAAAATTGAAAGGGATCTTGAAAGTGGAGAATTTAGTTTGAGATGAGAAGTAAGGCAAGGAGATTCCGTTTCCCCTACATTATTTTTCTGTTTATTACTAGACGTTCTACGAAAAATGTGGGATTTTTTTAACGTTGACAAGAAAAAATACTTAAACTTATGTTTGCGGATGACATTGTTTTAATTGCCAAATCATCCAGACAACTGCAATCAATGCTCTGTAAAATCCTGATTCTTAGCAAGGAAATATATCTCAAATCTCAGAAAATCAAGGTCATGACAAATAGCGCAAAAGAAAAAAAATCTCTTGGTATAAAAATAATTGACTAAATGGAATAATATGTGTATCTGGGACAATTAGTGGCTTTCAATAATAACACCAAAAATAATTAACCAGACGAATTTCCGCAGCATGGTCAATATTTTGGCGATTAAAATTTATTCTTTTCAACAAATCCTACAGCGGGCAAATAAAGAGAGAAATTTTAAATACTTGTGTACTTCCGGTGCTCATACGGTTCGCAAACTTGGGCACTCGCACGAAAAGAAACAAATGTCAATAATGTCTTCCTCCGAAAAATGGAAAGAAGAAGTTTAAACATTACCCTGGCAAGTAAAATGCGAAATGAAGACATTAGAAAGGCAACACAAATCAGTGACGTTGAAACCGCTGTTCGACACCTAAAATGGTGTTGGGCAGGTTACATCATGAGACTTCCCCATAACCGACGGACTCGCCGAATTACCGCTTGGGATCCAAGGCTTGGAAAGAGAAACGTCAGCAGGCAGAAGAAGAGATGGTTGTACGGTCTGAAAATGCTTTTTGGCAGCCAATGGTCTACCGTGACAAAGAATCGTCAACCATGTCTAAATCCAACACAATGAACGTACTACACTGGATAAATCAATTTCTTATGAATTTATTAAGTGTCAGTACAAAAAATAGTAATATGGTGTGTTAGCTAATTAGATTTAAGTACTGAAATCAAAGTGAACAATGTTAAATTTGGCAGTGACAAAGTGAAGTGCTTATTTTGTGTGTAAATAGTGCCCGTTTAAGGAAGTTCCCGAATTGTGTGCTTGTGAAGTCTACTATTGTGTAACCCACCCGACAACCTAACGCCCTTGCCCTCTACGGGATTGTTAGGGGCTATAATAATAATAATAATAATAATAATAATAATAATAATAATAATAATAATAATAACAATAATAATAATTTATTATCATCTTAGAAAACACTACAGTGTACACATCAAACAAATAAAACCATCACCCTCAAATACAAAAGAAAAACAACAACAAAAGGTTAGTATATAAATTTTCCTAGTAAGTGTAGTAAATTTTAACAAAATGCTCAACAACAACAAAAAAGAATTTGGTTGTAGAGACTTTGTATGGCGCACCTGCGTTACTCTCGAAGTACCTATTGCACTTGTCAGAGACAGATGCGTTACGCTTTTCATCCAGTGTGATACCATTGTTGTTCACAGTCCACTCAATTAACTATTGAGTGAACTGTAGCAACTGGAACATTTCAAATAATTCGTAAACTATTGTTATACCTTTAATATAATTCAAACTACTGTCATCACATGAGAAATATTCACAAAAGAAACACAGTCCACTTATTATAATTTTCATAATTAAAACAACAAAAGTAAGTATTATACTAATAATTAAACAATAAAGAAAAAATAAAAAAAAATTAAAATTAAATGAAAAGTTAGTCTTGACCTTGTCCTAAACGATAATTCATCCCTAGGAAGTTGATTATGAAGCAGTTGTTTGAAATTATGTTGTGTATAGAACTTCAGCATTTACATGATCAAAAATACAATCCAGCAGTTATTATATTACAGCAATAATAATAATAATAATAATAATAATAATAATAATAATAATAATAATAATAATAATAATAACTCATTCCCAGACAAATTACTCGAAATTGGCAAGAGCTATCAGTGTCTTGAATGACAAAGTACTGCCGCAGCATCTACAACAAAGACCATTATTCGAAGAAGTGCACACAGCAATTTATTGTGCAGCGGTTGTGGCTTCACGATGTGTCTTTTCTGACGCGTAGCTACTCCCACAATGATCGAAGTGAAACAAGAAAGCAACCGTGGGAAAGACGGCTGGTGAATCGTATAGAATGCATTAGTAGAGATTGGGAGACACACACATTTTCAAAAAGGAAATACCTGAGAGGAAAGGTGAATCCTTATCAATACAAAATACAAAAATACATACAAAGCACGAGCTCTTAAATTAAACGATACGAAGGTTGTCTTTTATGTTTCGGGATTTGGCAACCCTGGTGTTGCAATCTGGCAACTGACAGCTCTATTGTAAAGTTGGATGTTTTGAGGTTATACGTACTCAGAACGTTTTGACATACGCGCGGTATTTGTGTTGTTTACAGTAACTTAAAAGATTCATCTTGACCCAAAAATGGAATTAAATCGTGAACATTTTCGTGCGATAATTTTTTACAACTTTCGACCTGGATTAACTCAGCAACAGTGGATGGATGAACTTAATTCAATTTTTGGCGATGAAGCTCCATCAAGTAGCAGTGTTTATCGATGGTATGACAAATTCAATCATGGTCGTAGTTCACTCCAAGACGAATTTCGCGAAGGTCGTCCAAAATCAGTTGTTGTTCCGAAAACCATTGATGCTGTGCGTGAACTGATATTGCAAGATCGTCATGTGACCTATCGTGAGATTGAGACAACCGTAGGCATTAGTGGGAGCAGCATACATTCAATATTGCATGAACATTTGACTCTCAAAAAAATTTGTTCGCGTTGAATCCCATAAAATTTGTCAATCGCTCAAAAAAAAGCTCGTGTCAATTGATCGAAAGAAATGCTCAAAAAATACGATCGCGGTGCTTCGAAACACGTCTATGACATCTGACAGGTGATGAATCTGAATTTACGCTAATGACCCGAAAGTAAACAGCAGTCGACTGTATGGGTGTTTCAAGATGAGCAAATTCCAACAAAAGTTGTTCGCGCACGAAGCACTTCCAAACAGATGGTCGCCAGTTTTTTAGGAAAAACTGTAAATGTCGCAACCGTATCACTAGAACAACGCAGAACGTCAATTCTGAGTCATACAAACATTTGTTTCCAGCTGTTTCCAAGAAATCAGGAAACAACCGCGAAGACGGATCACTGTTCACCACGACAATGCGAGCTCTCACAACATCTCAAACAACTGCATTTTGAGCACCCAAAAACATTCGATTTGATGAGTCATCCGCCGTATAGTCCTGACTTGGCACCGAATGATTTCTTTTTATTCCCGTACGTAAAGAACAAACTGAGACGTTTTTCGACACCTGAAAGAAGCGGTTGCTGCATTCAGAATGCATGTTTTGGAGATACTCAATGAGAGGGGCAAAAGTGCTTCGACAATTGGTTCAAACGCATGCAAAAGTGTATAGATATTCATGGGAAATATTTTGAAAAACAATAAAGTGATTTCCGATGATTAATATTTGTTTTTGTTCTGTAATCTTGAAATATAAAAGGCAACCCTCGTAACAGAACCTCTTGACACATTACGACAAAAGCTTTTGTTGTTAACAATAAGCCTTCGTCCTTATAGGAATTGCAATATGAGGAAGTAATAGAATACTCTTTTTAACAGGAACCAGAAAGCATTTTACAGGAATCTTTCAAAAGGCAAAAGGGTTGTAAGTGATATGAATGAGTCAAAGCTTCCCTGAAAGCACTATTTGGTCATCTGCTGTGTCTCTCAACCCAGATATGACGTGGATTGAAATAGAATATGACTGACGCCAGATACCTCTTTAATGGATGAACCAATCATCACCATGGAAGTTGACCATGCAGCTTTGAACAAAGCACATAACTGAAAGACACCGGGCAGTGATGGCCTGCACTATTATTGGCTCTAACAATTTACCAGCACTCACCATCATATAGATAATATAATTCAACCTTTTATCGCAATCCAGAAAATCTGTCTTCCTCAGTGAAGTTAGAACGTTCTTGTTACCAAAGGAGGGTGAGACTAAAGACCTCTCGAAGTACACGCATATAACCTGCCTTCAAACTTTCTATAAACTCATAACATGTGTTACAAAACTGATGACACCCATTGAGGAACAGCACATCTTAGCGGATGAATAAGGATGTAGATGGATTTCAGGGATGCAAGGAGCAATACACTCTGTAATTTTGGGGGAAGATGCTCGGAAAACAAAGAAACTTGTACGCATGCCACATAGATTATGCTAAAGTATTCGACACCTTGCCCCATTCTTGGCTCCTTCAATGTTAGGATGTATACAAGGTCCAACCGTGTGTCCAAAACTTCCTGAAAATGGTGGTGAGTCAATGGAATACGAAACTGTATCTCTCTAATGGTAAACAATCTGTCCACACAGATACTATACACATTTCCAGGCTGACTCTTTAAGCACTTTCTTGTTCTGCTTAGCCTTGAATCCTCTGTCTACTCTTCTAAATGCTTCTAATTATTGCATCGCTCTTAAAAAAGGGAACTCAACCCTTCTTCGTTTCGCACATCTTCTTTACATGGATGACCTGAAACTCTATGCAGACACTGAGAGTCATATGCGGCAACTAATAATCGTGACGGAGAAGTTCACTGACGAGATCAAGATCGGTTTGGATAAGTGCAGGAGAGTGAATATCATTCGGGGTCATATGCAAGTTCTAAATTTGGAAAATTATAATGAACTACATTACCTTCAGGGAACCCCATGGACCTTACAAATACTGCGGTTTCCAACATTCACTCCGAAACAACAGAAGTGTGTAAACGAGTGCATGGACTCTTAAAAACTCAACTCTCTGCGAGAAACCTTGTGCAGGTGCTTGTGACATACTTCTTTGGCGTTATTAAGTGGAGCAATACCGCCCTCGACAACCTCCAGAGGACAATTCGAACCGCTATGACTCAACACCGAAAACATAATCTCCATTCAAGTATGTTGCGTTGTACCCATCCATGGTCACAAGGAGAGCGAGGTGTTGTAGATCGCATAAATCTACGCAGCTCTCAAATTGTATCACTCAGAAGATACTTCCTGAAACATTGTGGGAGAGTTCAGCTAGCAGTGAGCGCAGTTCATAATAGCTATAGTCCTCTGAACTTGAAAAACCTTGATCTGCCTGTTCAGCCAGTCACTGAAACCGAAGAGAAGATAACCTCATAAAGGCACTGCACGGCAGGTACCCCCATGAGCTGAGTAAACCTGAAGTCGACATCTCTGCGCCGTATATTTAAAATTGAGTATTTAAACATTCAATGTCCTGTAAATATAACACCAACATATATCAAAATATATGAAGAATTGTGAAAAGTATCTATTAATGTGTATCAAATGAAATATTCTTGTATCGAATTAAATTGTTATAGTGAAAATTATAAAAAGTTAGAAAATCATGTTAATATGTTGTTTAAGGATCATTGTGTAGGTAATCAAAATATAAGTGCGTTTTTAAAACGTCAAATTTATCGTATGAAAGTAAAAAAAATTCTTAAAATGTAATAAATATGATAATGTAGAGGATTTAAAGAAACATTGATTAATGTATTCATTATAAGATATGTATTGAAATGCCTAAAAATCTTATAAAATAATATAAATATTTTGCCGCTGAACAATTTCATCCTTATGTTGTATCGTACGGTTTTAAATGTACATTAAAGAAACTTCAAAAAAAAATATTATGAGTTCAGAATATATTCTCGAACATCAACATAATAGTTTTTCTTTTACATCTGAAGGCGATGAAGATGATAATCATGCAGGACGTGTTAAAACATATTTAAAACGATGTTAAAATTTTGATGAATGCAAGCATTTAATGAAGAACTTGTGAAATAGTGTAAATATTATCCTGAGGAATATTTACATCTAAATATTAAGTTAAGATGGACAACAGAAATGAGTAAAACTGATTATAAAATGGCTATATTGTGTCATCTGTGTAATATAAATTTTGAAAAACATGGATTAAAGAAAGTGGTTGATCATGATAACTTTACTGTTGATGTAGTAAGTGCAGCATGTAATGTATGTAATCCACATTAATGTCTTAAAAAGTTTTTTCCATACTATTTCATAAATTGAAATATTATTTTTACGAGCATTGTTAAAACTTAGTTAAGATTATTCAGATATTAAGATTATATCAAATAAATCTAAAATATTTAAGATTATAAAAAGTAATTGTAGGTCAATCGCCTACTCCATCCAATACCTGTATATGTACAAATAGTAAATGTAAAAAACGATATCACTTTATTGAAGAAAAGGTGATCGAGAATCAAAAGTAATATGGAAAGGAGATCTTATAGATGATATTGAATTTAGATTTGTTGGCCCACACTGGCTACTGATCAGCAGAAGAGATTTCTAAACATAGTCAAAGCTTAGAATAGCTCAGAATAGCAAAGAATAGCAAAGTTAGGATTATAACTACGAAGTACGGAATTATTTAAATCTATTTCAAATATTTTTTTGAGAAGATACAGCACAAACAATGTAGTATAAAACACTAATATGGTACCTAGTTGTGGCACGAGTTTTCGGACGGCGAAGAAAAGTATACCCCAAAATATACCCAAAAATACCCCAAAGTGAACTTTCGTAAAATCAAGTGTCAATTTCGTTAATTTCAAACGCAAATTACGCAAAAACTACTAATTTGTACAAAAAATGTACATGATATTTTTTAAAGAATTAATTTTGTGCAACTAACTTCGTCTGATCCAAAAATCCCAATATTTTATTTTCTAATTTTAAAACTTTTTTTGCAATTATCGAAAAAACGACAAAATCAGCAAAAATGAGATCTAAACCAATGTTTTTCGCTGTATTCAACAACAAAATTTAATCAAATTTTAGCCGTTTTTGTGAAAATTGTGAAAATGTGTTTGAGGCTTTAAGTGAAGAACCCTCAAAAATCAAAATATCCGTTTGAAACTCTCAAAACCACGAGTTTCATTCAGATCGATTGAGGAATATCAATTTTGAAGCCAAACGGCTGAACGGTTTTGGCGTTGACCACTTACAGACTGCGGACACAGACGGACATTTAACCCTCAAACGATTTTCGGTACGAAGAATCAACAAAACATGGATTCTGGCTACACCACGAGTTAGAGGATATTATTTTCCTAAATAACAGCATTTATCTACTTCTGCGTTACCAAAACCCGACAATAAGTTTTTTCTGGCAAAAGGTCGGCCTTTCCTCGCACACGATTCTTCTTACGAAGAATTCGTAAAGCGAGAAACTAAAAAACCGCAAATATTTTCCATGGTGTCAAATTTACTCAAAAATAAAATTTAATCTCAGTCTGATAATAAGCCGTGCCGAAGTGAGCGCGAAATTTGAAAGTTAAAGATCATTGGTTTTGTTGTGTTAACTCAGTGGAAAACAACACATACACGTGTAATATATAATTTTATATTACAATTTAATTCATATTCACTCTTTCGACCGTGTTATGGTTTTAACTTTTCTTGTGAATTCTTTCTTCAGTCTTTCTTTCTTGCCGTTTGGGTACAGTGAGCGATCTTCTTGTATAACACGCCAGAAATTGCTTTTGCTTCTCATCTGCATTCAGCAGTCCATGAAAACTGCATTAATTCAACAGGCCTTTCAGCGCCGTCCTTCACAGCTTTCGACTTTATAAATAACCTTTGCACTTCTAAATATGAAGAGTTGCTTGTCTAAGTGGAAGGACATTCATGAATGAAATTAGTATCCATCTTCTGACAAGAGAACAGATATCTGCTGTTGGTTGACACAAAGTCGGCTATTGTTTTCATTTAATTGAAGATTAAATGGAATTAGAAGATGTATATTGTATATTAACGAATTAATAATTAAAGAACCGGGATTAAAATCATCGGGATGCAATTGCGCTTACCATATTGATATCTATCCAATTCTCCACAAAAAGGAATAAATCACTCTTACATCTGTAGATTCTCTCAGGCCAAATTTGCTACTATTTTGATTTTGATTTGTAAGTCACCATTAAAAAGTGATACGACCTAAAATTCTTCTAATAAATACCCCTTACGGTGTCAACATTTTTTTAAATGCTGCTTTTGGAATTGGGGAATCTATCGTTTCATGTGATTTTAGAACTTTTAAAAAGCAAATATATTGTTAAAGAGCTTTTATAGCCGCACTGCGCGAAAGGCACGGTTTGATATTTAACAGTTACAACCAACAGAGACATTTTTAAATGAATGTTCAATTGCACTAAATAGCTTAGGTTCTGATCTTAGCAGAAACATTTTTAAATATTAAATAGCTCTTGCCATCAATCGAGATCTATGCATCGCCCCAGAATGATTTATCTTTAATGTGTTGCTCCTATTTTTTTTTTTAAATTTCGGACTCAGTAAGGGAAATTTTCTTTTTTTCTCTCTTTTTTCCACTTTGGATCACAAACTTTGCAACACAAAATTAATGGCATTAACTGTTTCCCAGCTTTCCTTAAAATGCTGAAGAAGTAGTGTCGCGATTGCTTGATATATCACGAATTTTACATTCAAACACACTGTAACCACATTGTAAAATAAATTAGTATAATCGATAACAGCCCGGAGAGAATAATTTTCTGTCCAAATTTTCTTAAAGAATGACGCATGCTATGATTCATATGACTGCATAAAACGTCGTGTTTGACGCACTTGTATCAGAGAGTTTGTACATTGTCTTCGATGGTGGGTTAACACATTCCAAACACGTTTGTGTGCTCTTTACCAGAAGAATTCCGCAAATTTGGAAACCCGATGAGCTGTTAACTGTCCCCAGTTGTAACAAGAATTGGAAGTCTTTTTACTTTCTCGTGCCTAAGAATGAACTTCTGAAGATGAGTAAGTTATGTAATACTGCGCGAAAAACGGCAAATTTTCGGTAAAATAAACTCTTATTACAGGGCCCTGGTAACGAAAGAGTGGATAAATCCAGTTGCTCAATTTATAAAAAATTCTCTTAACACGTGGTGTAGTCAGAATCCAGGTTTTATGGGTCCTTTATCCCGAAAAATCGATTGACGGCAAACGGTATGTCTGTGAACATCGCTAGCTGCTAAACCGTTCAGCCGATTTTCTCCAAAATTCATTTTCCCTGATCGATCTGGCTGATGTCGCGGCCCCTTTGATAGTCTGAAGGACGGTTAAGATAATTACGTAGGTCTCATATTGGTTAAAAAACAGCTTTTTCGAAAATTGAAAAGAAAACTCAAAACTTTTTCTGCGTCTTCCTACAACTACAATTATGAAGATACTATTATTCTTTGGATTCATCAAAAACATCTTCAAATAAGGTCGTGTTGAATCTTACGACAATATTACGACTTATTTTTGAGTAATTTGGCATCAAACGTAGACGCCCGCTTCTTATTTCATGCGCTTCGTGAACAATTTTATGAGTGATTTTATTTTATGAGGAGTTACGATGCAGCTGGATGCTACGTAAGTTATAACTAGTGTATTGTTTCATATTTCTTTGTAATTCATGTAAAAATAGAGTAATTTTTATTAATATAAAATTGTATTTAATTATTATATTTTATCTATCTATTTTCATTTTCGTACTAGCGGTACAACAATTCTAATGCTAGGTCTCGGCTAGCTATTCGAACTTGCCACATACTCTTGCTAGCTACCCTCTATCGCTGCCCAATGTATATTTTTTGAATTTTTCTTAATTTTTCGGCTTATTAATAGGGCACGAAAATATAATTTTAAGGATATTAGAAAAGTATAACCTCGGCCTAAATGGGCAGTCTTCTTTACAAAATTTGGAGCGATTTTAAAGAAAAAAGAAGCTGCGTAAATTCGAAATTTGAAGATATTTTTCTTCGACATTTTTTGTGTTTTCGAAAAAAATCATTACAATCACATTAGCTAAACAAGTACAATAGTTTTTACAAATCGCTGAAAATTTGCATATTAACGGCGTCAGAGTTCTTTATATATTAATATATATATATATATATATATATATATATATATATATATATATATATATATTTTGTGGCAATTTTTGAAAAAAAAAAATACCTCAAAATGAACTCACATATATTAAAAAGTAGAATTAGCACTATCGCCCGAAAAGTGTGAAGAAAAAAAATGCGGAATTTTAAGCTAGTTTTCACAGGTACCAATTTTGTGTTCGGAATCTTTATAGGACATTACCTAAAGAACATGTACTCATTAATATAGCAATGTGAACAGTGTGCCGCTAATGTAAATATTAACGACGTGAGAACAAATCAAAAAATTATATATTTGTTAATTTTTTAAAAACCAGAAAAATAGTGCAATGTGATGATTATGTAATCTCATAGGGTACATTTAGCACTATCCTACAAAAAGTTCAAAGAAAATTTTGAGCTCTCTGCACAGTTTTGAGCAATGAATCTTTGAAATTGTTATACACAATATCACCTAGGTCCGGAATGAGGACACAACAGAGGTTTTACTAACATTTCATTCGTAGGCATTTTTATTTGAAATATATGGAACCGTTTTAAGAAATTTGAACCTCTTTTCCATAGAAAACAATCGAGTTTTCGAAAAATCTCATATGAAATAATTTCAAACCCTTCCAGACATAAATTGAATAGGGAATAGGGAATGAGCGGGCAGGCGAGCGGGGAGCGGGCGGGCGGGGTCGAGCGGTCGAGCGAGCGAGTGGTCGGGCGAGCGGGCGGCGGGCGGGCGGCGGGCGAGCGGGCGGGCGGGCGGGCGAGCTGGCGGCTTGCTAGCGGGCGGGCGAGCGGGCGGGCGGGCGAGCGGGCGGGCGGCGAGGGGCGGGCGGGCGGGGCGGCGGGCGGGCGAGCAGGGGGCGGCGCGGCGAGCGAGCGGGCGAGCGGGCGGGCGAGCGGGCGGGCGAGCGGGCGGGCGAGCGAGCGGGCGGGAGGAGCGGGGGGCGAGCGGGCGGGCGGGCGAGCGAGCGGGCGAGCGAGGCGGGCGGGCGAGCGGGGGGCGAGCCGGCGAGCGAGCGGCGAGCGGGCGGCGGGCGGGCGGGCGCTAGGAGGTTCGCGGGTGGGGGTAGGGAGGGTTTCGCTGGGCCGATCGCTGGCGAACACGAATACGGTCGGCACCTGAAATTACTGTCACGCGAAGTCCACTGTTTCAAATAGTGTTCGTCTCCGTGGTCTGGTTTCCTTGCCAGTTTTGTAGAATCGTGTAACGGCGCTCGGTCTGCCGCTGTCTGTACTGAGGGTGAGCGTGAATATACATGCGCAGACATGTAGGCGTTAAATTGAAAATCACCTTTATTCTTTGGTATCCTTCAAAAATGTAAATAACTCAATAAACGCGTGGACAACGCCACTGCCATATTGCTTTACGACCACTTTTTTGAGGAGAGTTTTGTAGCTGCTCGCAGCTACCTGTAAGAGATAAGCATGACCGTGATTAGCACGTGGAATGCTCGCCTCTTTAGCCATTCTAATGTCAGATATAAAATGCAGTTCCCTAAATGCGTTCATAACTGATAACTCCCCTCGAGATTGCACTTGGCAATATGTCGTTTGGTCAGTGAGGTTCACATTCCCACTCACCATGTGCGAGTGAAATACCATTGAATCATTAAGCATCCTACGACCTTGCAATTGTCGGGCAAACAATGTCCGGCGAAAACGTGGTACTCGAACGTGGTTACGATTTAGTCCGAAATATGGACATTTCAGAGAGTGGCAAATATCTCCAGTGAGTTTGCTTCACGTTGAGTAAAGATTTTCGTTGCCTATATTTCAGAAAATGCTGTCTGGTACCATGGACTGCAATTACCTAGACCAAATTGAGCCAGGTTGCATCAGGGGGTAATGAAAACCAATAAACGGGTTTTAGAACAGGGCATTTAAATGAAAGAAATATTAAACATTTAATTAAAGATTATTTTATATATTTTTAATTGTTCAGATACATTAAAACAAATAACGTTAAAATAAATAACGTTAAATAACGTACGGTTTTTCATGCATCATGCCATACTATCATACTATTTTACTAATTTCCAGTGGACGTCGAAAAAAATTTGCAGCATCCGACTATATATGAGACGTGTCTGCTTTCTTTAGACATCGACTTTCGGAACTCGAAAAAAAACACACTAAAACAATGAAATTTTCAATTTTGAGTGAAAAATGCTTGTGTGTTATTCTGACTGTCCTGATAAAGTGCCTATGAACTGTATTCTGTTTCCCAGTACGATCCAGCTGACATGTGACAGGAAGGCTCCAAGGAAGGCGACGCCCTCTGTTAAACGTTTGCTATTCATGTGGTGCGTTATGGAAGAGCAACTTTTTTATATTCTTGGTCTGTAAAGAACTATTGTTCTATGCCTTATTACAGTATTCGCGAAGACATTGTTAAGGAATTCAAGTTATTCTAGTGTTTTATTTGTTGTTCTTCAGAAATGTGCGAGCTACTTTTTGGGAAACCATTTGGCGTAGTTTTGGTCAGCAGAATTTTTGGTGCTCCTAGCCACTAGTTTATATTATTTGTATAATCTATATTTTATATCATCGTCCCGTACTGTTTGATGGCAGTGCATAGTGATACTACGAGATTGAACGTAGTAGTTTTTAGTCACTGAACCTATTAACAACGTAACAAAAATCAGATCGAGTACCCTCTACAAATATCAGATCGTGAATCTTCGTTGCCCGACTAATATCGCATTTATTACTGTGATAACTAATTTTATTTTATTTTGCCTTACTATGCTTCTTAGCTTTCACCATATTTAACAATGACTATCGTAATTTCACTTTGAATTGCACTCTTAGGTTTTGACACATAATACCGTACCTTTTTATATGTGGACGTGCAGTTCTGTCCAATATTGCGATTCCTAGAAGTTCTGTTTGTTTTAACTTTTTATTGAATTGATGGCAACTACTATAAATTATCAGCCTTTTCTTTTCTCAATAATAAAATTTAACATTTATTCTGACATAATTACAAAATTATATGGAACTCATTAATGAAATAATTAACTTTTCCTCTGCACAATCATTTAAGTCCCATTCGGTTTTGTGTAAAGTTCGTAAGCATACTGTGATGACGTCTCAGATGTCTTCGGGCTTGATATCGTCCAGGGGATGTCTTCGTTGGTGTCCTTCCTATTGTGATATATTCTAACAACGGACGAAGTTTTCCAATATTCCCGTAGTGTTCTAAATTATTCTACGCTTTCATATAACTCAGTAGATTTAACTAAATAACTTCGCGACCGTGACTTGGCCTACGTGTGCTTTGGATGAAACACCTACACGCGACTATCTCCAGCCCAGTCCGTAAAAAACCTGCCCATCCACAAACATATTCTATCATAATTCCCTTCCATACGGAGTATATTTTACTTTGATTTTCTAATTAAAATGCAGATCAAATTAATACCTTTGCACTCTTAACTTTTGCAATGCTAAATCGTCCCAATTAACTATAAGTTCCCACTCCCCTATCATTAAATTAGTAACCCAGTCT